ATACGTACATTTCTCTTGCATTCGTTTCCCTTGCCATGTGGTAGTTTGAATGTTACTGAGTATTTAGCACAATAGATATGACACACGAAATCCTAATACTAAGACTTCTATTTATACTAATTCGACCATAACGGTCTTGCTATAGGATTATGCCACGTTCAGAACATGCAGAACAATGCCTCTTTCTTCTTTCCACGTGTCCCCAAATGCTCCAGCACATAACTTTCAAACTTCGAATGTCCCGCTTCCATTTGAATTTCAAATGCTTTGGTACTTCTCCGTTTCGAACGCACTTCCCAGACACAGCCTTGTTGTTATTTCGAGACTTCTTTAGATATGTTCCCATAATTGCCACTCGAAGCTCCAAGCTTTGACATGCTTATTCGAAACACTGCTTCTGCTACTTTGAAACATGACGCTTTACCTCATTTCGATCGAAACGTTTAATTCATTTGGCTTCTAATAACATTATCAAAATCTTCAGCCAACAATAACCAAACACCTTCAGATGGCTAACACTTTGCTTGTCTCCAGTCCATTTTTCTAAAGGAACAGTTTCCTTCAGCTTCTTTGTTGGACACCTATTCAGAACATATGCTGATGTGGCAACAGCTTCTCCCCATAACATGTGAGGTAACTTCTTCTCTTTCAGCATACTTCTGGTCATATCAAGCAAAGTTCTGTTTCTTCTTTCAGCAAGACCGTTATGCTGAGGAGTATATGGAGCAGTAACCTCATGTTCTATTCCATTCTCCTCACAGAACTTCTGGAACTCTGTAGAGTTATACTCACCTGTAAGTCTCAGAGTGCCTAAGAGGGGGGGGGGTGAATTAGGTCTTATAAAAATTTATTCGGTTTTATGAGAATGCTTGGTAGTAATTTTGGTTAAGTGTTTGAAGGTTTTGTTTATATCTTTATCTTTTCTTGATTATGGTGATGAAAGCGATAAATGCGGAAAAGTAAAGAACACGGTGATATATCCTGGTTCCCCTCACAATCCGAGAGTACTCCAGTCCCCTTTCCAACACGAAAGAGATTTCACTATAGTTAGAATGATTGTACAGCCTATGCTTACTATCTAACCTATAGGGTGATCAAAGGTTCTTAACACCTTTAAGACCAAACAAACACTAATGTGAATGAAGAACAATCCTCTTCAAATCACAACACTTACTTCCAACAATCCTGGATAGTAAGGGAATAATTTCTTTAAGTAATACAATGATTTAGTTTGAAGTATATGGAGAGCTTTATCAATCTTCAATTGATCTTCTTCTTCAAGATAAAAAACAATTCTCAACAATGTATATAAATGTTCACAATGTATGTATGAAACTTGTAATGATAATGAAAGTGTATATGGCAAGTTTCACAAAATTATGAACACATGAAAGTTTATGTTCAAAATGAATGAATGAGAAAATTGTTAATATGAAGAAGGTTTTTTGTTATTTGAAAATGTTATATGTGTTCTTTTTTAAAAACTGAAAAAATCTGCATTTTATAAAGTTGTAAGAACCTCTTCATTCATGCCAATTCATATGAAAAGTTGCAATGCATTCATGAAAAGATGCCACTTGAAAAATGTTCAAAAAACAAAGTAAAAGCTGCACTGGTTCGCTAGGAACCGGTTCCGACACTGACAGAACCCGGTTCTTAGTGAACGTTATAAGTTGGAATTCAAAAATATCACGCAGGAACCGGTTCCCCTATTAGTACAACCCGGTTCCTAGTACAAAAACCAGGGACATGTTTTTTGAGAAATGCTGGAACCCGGTTCCCTGTTAGGGAGGAACCGGTTCCTAAAGTTTTATTTTCAAAAATACTTTTTGAAAGATATTTCAAACAAAGTTTTCTTGATCTTAAAGTTATGGAATATGTATATGTTGATGAATGCATATTGTGAACATCTATATTCAAGATTTTAAGAATTATTTATACCATATTGACATTTGATGATTCTTCAATAATTCTTCAATAATCTTCAATAATCTTCAAGACTTTTATTTGATGTTGATAAGCTTTTTGCACATCCTTTGAATGTTGATGTCCATGTTGTCTTCATCAAAACACATGCTTTAAGTATGACTTGAGAAGCTTGCAATTACACCACCTCCACCATCTGTTCTCAGAATCTTCAGCTTCTGACCACTCTGCTTCTCAGCCTTTACCTTGAACTTCTGAAACTCAGTAAACACTTCATGCTTGAACTTGATGAGTGTTACCCATGTCATTCTTGTGAACTCATCCACAAAAGACACGAAATATTTGTTTCCTCCAAGTGAAAGTACTGGAAATGGTCCACACACATCAGAATGTACTACACCCAGAGCATGCTTTGCTCTGGGGGCTACTTCTGATGCAAATGGCAATCTGGGTTGCTTGCCTTTCATGCATATCTCACATGACTTTTGAGGCTTCACAATCTTCGAAATGCCATGTACGAGCTTCTTAGAACTTAGATGCCCTAAGCTTCTATAGTTCAAGTGCCCCAACCTCTTGTGCCACAGCTTACTGTCAGCTTCAACGCCTTCTGCACTAAGACACTCCGCTTCAGAAGTTTCTACATTCACCTTGAATGTTCTGTTGCTTCCCTGCTCAGACTTTATAACCAACTTCTGATTAGAATCATACAACGTCAAGAGGTTGTCCTTCATAACCACTGAAAAACCTTTCTCAATGAGCTGGCCCACACTCATCAGATTGCTTTTAATTCCAGGAACATACCAGACGTCTTTGATAAGAATGTTTCTTCCATTCTTCAATCTGACTCTAACATTTCCCATACCTTCTGCATTAAGGTACTTATCATCAGCACATCTGATCTTTGTTCTCCTTCTGGAGTCAAAGTCTATCAGCCATTGTTTGTTCCCAGTCAAGTGGTTTGAACAGCCAGTGTCCATATACCACCAATCTCCTGAACAGTTTCCATCAGAATCAGAAGCCATCAGTAGCACAGGTTCATCATCAGAATCTTCTCTGGCTATATTTGCTTCTTCTGATTTCCTTCCTCTGTTTCTACAGTCTCTGGCAAAATGGCCAAACTGTTTACAGCAGTAACATTGAACTTTCTTCTTGTCATACCTTTCCTTTCCCTTCTGATATTTCTTTTCATCAGAAGTTGAGGTTTCTGACTTCTGGAATTTATCACCATGTCTATTCTGCTTCTGGTCCTTCTTGACAAAAGAAGCTTTCAGAGCTTGCTCCACTTCCCTCTCAGAAGTTCTTTCAGTCAGACGCAACTCTTGTGCTTCTAGACTGCTTTGCAACTCTTCTATTCTCATGGTTTCCAGATTTTTAGAATGTTCAATAGAAACAACAATGTAATCAAACTGAGGCGTAAGTGACCTCAGAATCTTTTCTATGATTACCTGTTCAGAAAGTGTTTCTCCACAAGCCTTCATTTCATTAGTGATCAAAATCATTCTGGAGATGTATTCAGAAACTTTCTCACTGTTCTTCATGCTGAGATTTTCATATTGTTTTCGCAGGGACTGAAGCTTTACCTTCTTTACTGATACGTCACCACCATAACATCTGGTCAGTATATCCCATGCCCCTTTCGACGTCGTCGAATTAACAATCTTCTCAAACACATTTTCATCCACACACTGATGGATAAAGAACAGAGCTTTCTGATCCCTCTTCCTTGTAGCTCTTTCTTCTGATTTTTGTTCTTCAGTAGCATCTGCTGCAGCTGGAACATAACCTTCAGAAACAAGGTCCAGAACATCCTGAGCACCAAACAACACACGCATTTGAATCTTCCATCTGTTCCAGTTTTTACCATCAAAAACTGGAAGTTTAGTGTTCAAACTACTGCCTCCATTCATCTTAAACCTTTGCACAGAAAAAAAACTCAGATCTCAGATTTCTCACTCAGTGTTTCCCAAACCCACAGAATCAGTATGATTCTGTTTCAGATTTTTGTTCAAGATTCAAAAATCAAACACACAGCTCACTATCACTCGTGTTTCCCAGAGTTTCAGAACAAACCAGGAGCTCTAGATACCAATTTGTTAGTGCAAGGTGATGAAATTGAGGAAGAAGATAGAGATGAATAAATGCTTAAAAGCTGACAGCAAATGATTGAAGGAATTGATTGATAATAAATGTAAACCTAATACACCTATTTATACACAAATAAGAATGCCACATAGACCCTAATCAAAACTTATCTACAAATAACAAAATACTAAATTACCCTCTAATACAAGCACACTCTTAAGATTTATAGATTACTATTTTTGTTGATGTTTTATTTTTATAAGCGTTTAAATTTTCTTTCTATGCACTCTTTTTTCTTTCACTAAAACTAAATTCTATTAAATTTTTTCATAAGATTTTCAATGACAAAACTGTTTTTCACACTTTTTACTATTTATTTTAAAATTTATCTTATCTTCTTTATTTTGTAACTTCACTTCATTTTCTTTTAACAAATAAAAGACAACGCTTCCTAATCCATCATAGTCACGTTGAATAAATCAATCCTTGACTTGGTAATCTAAAAACAGCCCGAAAATTCAAATTGAGAATGGTTAAACGCGGTTATTCCATACGTCGAAACTTTGCCTACACACAACCAGTGTCGTATTACTTAACTTGCACTTGCAAACAAAGAAAGTAAATGTTTATTGTAAAAAGAAATTTGCATTAAAAAGAACAACTTTTAAGAAATAAGGAAAAATAGTCTTTTATTTTATTTGGCCCACTACTCATTAAAAGTCACATCACACAACCGCCCTCGCTAAAAAACACAAAAATAATATCATTAAAAAATAACAATTGGAAAAAAAAATTGCATAAAAAAAATAACAAAAAAAGAAAAGTCAAGTAGGAAAAGTAGTATTTCATTTTACTTGACTAATTATTAATCACACACCGCCTTTGCTAAGAAAACACAGAAGCAATATCACACTATATATACAACCAATTATGCAGTTGCACCTTACACAAATCAATTATCATACAAACCATATATTTGGAAGAATCATATTTCACTCAAGATTCTTTTGTATCAAAAAACAGATATAAAAGATGGGTTCTGTTGCAATTAAAGTGTTTGTGATACTGGGGTTGTTAGCTACCTCATGCATAGCACAACAAGCTCCTGCACCCGCACCTACCCGATCATTATCACCTAATACAGCACCTGCTCCATCACCCTCCTCCACAAACACATCACCAACACCTTCTCCAGCACCCTCTCCTTCATCACCAACCCCAAACACTTCTTCTCCGCCGGCACCAACCACAAATGGCCCAGCATCAGGCCCAGGAGGAGCCGAGGCACCCTCTGCTGCATTCTCTATTACCAAAACCTTCGTTGCCGTCACTTCATTAGCTGGAATCTTCGTCTCCATGCTGTTAGCTTAGATGTCTTTCTTTCTCTATATATATTTTTAATTCTATTCAATTCTTACTTTAGTCGCTTACAAAGTTTTATTTATTTATTTCTCATTATTGTTTTGTGTGATTGCTCGCTCGTATATGTAGATGATGATGACTATGATTTTATCTTTGTACGTGTAACCATATATATATAAAATAAAAAAAGTTGTTGCAATAAACCTATATGGTTTTTCTCTGGAAGAGAATACATTAGCTTCGCTTGATTCAGAACCAGCTGTATATTGATGATTGATAAGAGGTCAAACATCAAAGATAAATATATAACGTTATTTTTTCTTAAAACGCTAAAGACAATTGTGTTAACTTTTCAAAGCTAAGAGTACTACCGATGCCTTTAAATTGTATTTTGACTATTAAACACAAATTAAAAATAATAATTAGTTCTAATTTGGAAATAGTATTGAAATCAACAACGATTAATTAAGCATACATGTCCAACCTATTATAAGATATATTTTACAAATTATAACAATTACTATATTTTAGTGTTAAAATCAAATAGTCATAAAACAATTACATATTATAACATATATTTTAGTGTTGGAAATCAAATAGTAATAAAAAAAACAAACAAGTATAAAATTAAAGAGTCGATAAGTTGATATTTAGGAATATTTGAATTCATTATATATATATATATATATATATATATATATATATATATATATATATATATATATATATATATTTCACATTAATCATGAAATATAGAGCTTTCAAGACGAACAATGGGCACTACTTGTACAATTTTTCTTCAATCGATATTCATAATATCTTTTTTAATTTTGATGAGAGGAAGAGATTATTTAATTACATTATGATATGAGGAGAAGAGATTATTTAAAAATAAAAGTTGTGTGTTAGTTTGAGATTTTTTGCTTAACACCAATATAAATGTGAGATATATAAAATATATGGAAATGTTAAGTATAAATAACCAAGTCATATTTTCGATATTAAATTGTAAATTTGATAGGTTGATCTTTTCGAAAGATGTGATTGGAGGAATTAAAAATATTTTCGATATCACAGTGACAGGTGGAAGCAGTTCAAGAGTCGAATGTCCGTGAAAACAAATAAGAAGGTGAAAGTTCATGCAGTAGGATACATGTCAAATTTTGAAGAGATAATCGTTGTTGACGGTTGATAATCTACTTAGTATATAACTCTATAATTAAGATTCACATTTCATTTTGTTCTCTTTAGAACTCACACATCTAATCTATTGAGATAACAAGTTTGTGAGAAATGTATGAAAATGCACTACTACAAAACGCACAAACAACAACGCTATAGTCACTACGGTTCTTCTAAACACCGTGGTGACATCTCTAAATTCAAGTGCGGATATTTTTATTTTATTTTTTAATTAATAATTATTAGGATATAATAATGGTTATTTAGTTGATCGTAGTGATATATTCAAGTTTTCATGGGTTTGAACTTCAGTCAACTCTAATATTTTATTCCTTTAACGTTAAGACACGTATTTTATTTTTATTTTTAAATAAAGAATCTCAGGAATAGCATAACAGTTGGTTAGGTCAACCGTTGTGATATACTTTGTATTTTTATTTAAAAATTTTAAATGACTAAACGCTAGCGTTTCTTTATGAAATTTCATTATGCAGATAACATATCATTACGATTTAGTATTTAGACTGTGGTGGTATCATTATTTATTTCTATCTAGCTTGTCTTTTCAGTTTCCTTATTTCCACTGGAAAAAAGAAACGACACTGTGAAACGATACAACTCTAACATTCAATACTGTGAAACGATACAACCCTAACATTCAATACTGTGAAACCATACAAGCTTAACCTTCAATACTGTGAAACGATACAACCCTAACACCATCATTCACTACTGTTTATCGTTCATTTTTCATTCAATACTTTGATACTGAACATGATCATCGAGGAGGTTGATAACACGAACACCATTTTTAATTCAAGTATTTTGATTGTTTTATTACTGTTTGTCTCTTTACTTGCTTTTGTTTAATCTAATAAGCACATTTAATTTATTTCTTTTGTTATTTGTATTAGAAATTCTTCCAGCATCATTACATTCTCTCAAAAGTTTTTACACGAAGAATTGTCTAAAATTTTCGATTTTGATCGTACAAAAGACAAAAATCGTGAACTAAAACTCGTGATTGTTTACAAAAGAAATTATAAGTATTTTGCCAACAAAAGACAAAAATTTATTCAAAAGATAAAGTAAATCCTCCATATAATGGTTAAGACCCAATTCGAAAGTCTTCTTTATAAAAAATTATAGATGATGAGGTCCTTAATTAAATTGAGGAAGGACTTGAAGTCCTTAAAAAGAATGTGTGAAGACATGAAAGAGGCCATTTGATATAAGGTGTTGTCATCTTTAAAGTTGAATAACTTTTGACCTCATAAAGAACATCTTGACCATATATTTGTCTTGATAGATAAAGACTTTACTGAATTTTGTTTGATATAAAGTATTGTCATCATCAAAATCAACAGATCATCTAACAGTTGTGTTAGCCCGAGATTTTTGACTTAGACTTTTCTACATGAACATGGGATACTAGGTGGATATAAATGTTTAGTGAAGATATTATACGTTTCGATTTCGACACCAGTGGACTTTTCATAGATTCAAAAAATGGATGTTTCAACAGACATGATTGGATGACTTGAAGACATGTTTGACAACAGTAGTGGTTTAAAGCAGTTCAAGAACCAAATACACGTGGAAGGACATAAGGAAAGAAAAACACGCGTAACAAGATACATGTTGAATCCTGGAGAGATAGCAGTTATTGACAGTTAGTTATAGACCTATTATATAAGTAAATTTCGATGATGTATAGCGGGTTCACATTTCATTTTGTTTCCCTTGTAAAATTCACACATCCGAGTCATAGAGATAAAAAACTTGTGAGAAATGTATGAACTTACGCCCCACTCTTAATTCGAGCAATTTTATTTAATAGATTTATCATTTTATTTTATTTACTTTATCATTTTAAGGGTTTCTACACTTACTTTCTTGAGTCTTTACAGTGAAAACCATTCAGCACTAGTACATTTCTTCAAACAATTAACACAAAGTGTCCTTTATGATTTTTTGAGTTTGATCCTTCAAGTGAATTAACACACAATATTGTTTACCAAAAACATCAGTAAGCACGTATTAGCCTGGATTTTTGACATCATGAGTTTGACGTAGAAAAAAGGAGTCCAGAGAAATACTTAGTGAAATCTGGATATTTTAAAGAACACTTCGACATGGATATTTTGACTCAGGAGGTCGAAGCCGAATAGGTCGAAGTCATTTCTTTAGGATGGAAGTTGGGACTTAGTATTTATTTCTCAAAAATTAAATATGCATGACTTTGATATCAACAGTTGGAGCAAATAACATGTTAAGGGCGAATAATTTTCGTTTGATCTTATCCATACCAAGGAGACACGTGGAAGCAAGTTTGAAGGCGAGAAGCGTGTATCAAAATACAGGCCGATTTATAAGGAGAGAGTCATTGCAGGTTGTTAGTCATATATTAGTATAAATAAGAATTCTAACGTTAGGATTCAAGGTGTCAAATTCATTACAAAAACTCAAACACTCAAAGTACCTAAGTGAAAATTGAGAAGCGAGTTACCTGAGACAAAATGTATGATTCTAAACAACATTTTATTTACATTTATGCAAAATATCTTCTACATTAACTTGTCTTTTTCCAGCAATTTCCTTTATCTTTTAGATTTTCAGTTACCCAGATTTCGACTACGTCGAAATTTTGTATTTTCTGCAAATTTACATTTTTAGTCTTTATAAAAACTAGAGCAGATTACTATCTCACATTAAACATTACAATAAAATTACAAGAGTGTATGCAGATATGTCCTAGGATTAACTAGTCGATCCTGCAAATAACCCTTTTTAATACTAGCGCTTGTTTACTAAAATTCACAGTAAACAAATTGACACACTTGGTGGGACCCTTTTGTGCTAAACTGTAGATATTTTATTTTTTTTATCATTGAGTGTTCCTTTGTGAATTGTTCTTCATACATGAAATATTCTTAATATTTGTATATGCATGTGTTTAAGAAGTGGAAAATATTTACCTAAAATGACACATCAAAATACGGATAACCCTACTTCTAACACACCGAACAATCCTTAAATACAGTGGAATCACTTGTCAGATTAACGACTAGAAATGCAGCTTTTTTCTCTCCTGTTCGAACAACTTCCTCTGCAGCACCGACAACGAAAATATCGCTAATACCACCACTGGGGTTATTCCTCCATAATAATCAGGGAGTCTCCCTTTCAACACCACAGTTACGGGACCTATTTTGAGCGAACCCAGGTCACCATTTCCTCCTGGTTTTTCAACAATGGGTAGTATAGAATACCCATATGGCATGCCATTATCGATGATTGTGGATCTTCGAACCAATGAATCGACATATGCAGACAACACAGTGGCTACCTTGCCACCGTTTAACACCCATCATGCATCTGCTTCAATGATAAACAATATAGGTCAATTGCTGCCATCACCAGAAGGATAAGTTATTTCCCTTAAATGACACCATCGTTGAATACGACATCCATGATGGCTATGAAGCAACAGATGGACGAAAGTATCCATGAAATGGTTAATATGTTAACCAGACAAATGGATAATATATTCAATCCATTAATTGCGAATACTAACCAAAATTATAAGTCGCAAGCCAATCAAATAGGTTAAATAGCCTATTTTTTCGATGCTCCTCAGGTTTAGGCGCAACCGACTCCTTAAATCTCAAATGTTAGGCTAGTCGAAAAGCTTGATAATGGAATGGCCCCTGTTAACCAGGGAAATTTTTTTGGATTTCTTCCTCCAAAAAACACCCCAAATAGAGAGGAAGAAGAATATATAGGTCAAAAAATCCTAAGCTAGTAATGATAA